TTTGAATAATTCCAGCTATCAATTGCTTGTTTGCTACTAATGCTAAATTAAGAGAACACACAAGCAAGCACAACAAAATACTTAAATGTTATACAGAAAATTTACCAATTTAATAAAAAAAAATACATATATTTTGGCTGGTTCATACCCGCTAAAACCCTCTATGACATACGAAAATATAGCACCAATTACTATGGGTTCTAAATTTCTAATTTTCAGTCTACAAAGATAAATTATATAGATATGACCAAATAACTAAATGATTATGTTTCCAATTAAAGGAAATTTGTATACACTTACGGAAAAATTGTGTTGCAACGAGGAAAAAAAAAATTATATGCTTGAAACCAAAACGGGCCTTAGGTCCATGAGATTTTTTAAGCCCAAACGAGATTTCCCAGTCAATGTTACCTCTTTCGTAGTCAAAGTTTGCAAATTTTAGTAATAAAAAAATCGTAGGCTATCACTTTTTTAGGGGCTGTCGAAATTGTACAACGAAAAATCAACAAATATGTTAATAATCGAACCAAAAAAGTTGGTAGCCAACATGTTTGGTTGGTAATACCGTACCAATTCAACAATCTTGGTACGGTAAAACCATCCGATATGGATAGCATGACCACCTTCGTGGTTGAGTTCAACCACGCCCATGCCCGTGCATACCATCTCAGTTGGTTGTGGTTCATGATTCTCGTGGTGGTTCGTTGTGCATATCACGAATTGAAACGAACAATCTTATTGGTTGTGTTTGCAACGACTACATTTTCATTTGTATAGTACACTTTTTTTTCAAACATATTAAACATCTTCTATAAATATCACACTTATTATTATATACTCACACAATTTCTTCCTTATTTTCTTACAATCACACACTTGTTTTGCATTATCATTCAAAACCAATGGCTCCAAAAAGGATGAATTTGTCAGAAAATAAAGAAGAGAACTTATCACGAGCATGGGGTAGCGGCTTCAGAAAACCTAGATGCTATAACACCTCCTAAATTTTGGGGAAAAGTTGAAAACGTTTTCCATGATTTAATGGGTTGCCGAAGTCATAGTCTTAATGAAATATGTTCGAAGTTTCGTGATATGAGGGTTAAATGACTTGAAGTCAATGCGATTTATAACTTTGTTATAAACAACATAGATGAAGACGAACCATTATTGTGGTCATGCACCAATATGAAGACATGAAACACACATCTTGTAAACACGTCAAAGCTTGAAGAGAATTGAAAGAGTAACCAAAATTTAGTCATTAAAAATAAGGTTTAAAAACTTGTTTAAATTGTTTGTGGTTGCATGTTTATGTTTTTTATTTTATTTTATTCTATATTGTGTGTTTTAAATTAATGCAATCTTTGTTTCATTTAATAAAAAATTAGTTTTAAAAAATATATTTTATTGTTTTTGAATTAAATTTAATTAAAAAATATATATATTTTATTGTGTTTTTTAATCAAATTTAATTAAAAAAATGAGACGTAGTGGTGTGTTTAGCGGTAGATATGTCATGGTTAGTATTAGAGAGTGTGATGATGATGTGGCGTTCAACACAATAGTGGTTAGTGGTGAGTATAACGGATGATTTAATGGTACAAAAGTTGAAATATCATGGTAATATCGTACCAACCAATTCATATGTATGTATGTATGTGTGTATATATATATATATATATATATATATAGAATCAAGATCAAATAAGAAGGAAATTTTTGGTAGGAAGGTAAGAAAGTTTTTTTCTACATATTTTTTTCGCGAACAAACAAAATGAATCATTAGATGATTCATTTGTAAGATGATTCACAAGAAAAAAATCTCAAAAAAACATCTCGATGATTCATTTATACAATGATTTTGTTGTTATTCACTAAAATTGTCATAAAAGTGAATTTTTTCTTAATTTACTTAAAAATGAATCATAAATATGTTTTTTTCGGAATTTTTTCTTGTGAATCATCTTACAAATGAATCATCTAATGATTCATTTATTTTATTCGTCAAAAAAATATGTAGAAAAAAAACTTCTTACCTTCCTACCAAAAAAAAATTTCTTACCGGATCTATATCCTATATATATTATATATATATATATATATTATATATATATATATATATATATATAATATATATATATATATATAGGGTTATGTTAATGTGAGACGGCCTAATTTTGTGAGATCGTGAGACACATTTTTTAATTTTAATTTTATTTTTATTTTTTAATTTTTTTTAGTTAATTCAAGTTCCGAAAATAATATTTAAAAAAAAGAATTTTTTGATTTTTCCATTTATTTTTCATTTTAAAATTATTTTTAGAATATGTACAGTGTGATATTCAATTTAGAATATTTCACGTATTTTTCTAAAAAAAATATAGGGTTTTTTTTAGTTAATTCAAGTTCCGAAAATAATATTTAAAAAAAGAAATTTTTAGATTTTTCCATTTATTTTGCATTTTAAAATTATTTTTTAGAATATGTCAGTGTAATATTCTATTTAGAATATTTCACGTATTTTTCAAAAAAAAGGGGATTTTTTTTTATTTTTTTTTATTTTCTTTTTAGTTTTTTTAGTTAATTCAAGTTCCGAAAATAATATTTAAAAAAAGAATTTTTGGATTTCCATTTATTTTGCATTTTAAAATTATTTTTAGATTTGGTCTTACGGTCTCACAAAATTAGAATGGTTTCAAATGAACCTGAACCTATATATATATATATATATATATATATATATATATATATATATATATATATATATATATATATATATATATATATATATATATATATATATATAAATTGTATATTTCAATTGTTAATTGTGTCTACTGTCTACAGTTTTAAAAACATTATGTAAATCATTTGGTCGTATTAGCCAATGGTTATTACCACGTTAAAGCATAAAATTAAAATATTACTTAAGGTTACTTTAGTAAAATTCAATTGTAAATTAAAAGAACTATGTAACTAATTTCTTAACTAAACGTCAAAATTACCCGATGTGTTTACTTATTTTTAAATCTTATAATAGAAAATTAAAGGGTAAATGACACAAAAAACACTCTTTTTACACAGAAATTTGATTTTGACATCGTGTTTTTTTGTGTCAATTTTGATACTGTGTTTTTTAATTTGTTACAATTCTGACCACTTGACCGGTTAACCAGGTTGCTTGTTGACGTGGCATGATAACATGTCAATTTTTGATGATGTGGCATTCTGATATGATATGGTAACGTGTTAAAATTGAATTGTTTTTCTTACAAAAAACACTAAGTTTTCATTTTTTTCAATTTTAACACTAAGTTTATTTTTTTTTCTTTCAACTTTGACACTATGTTTTTTTGTTCCAAATCGAACATCATTTTTTTCAATTTTGTTCAATGTTGACAATTTTTTATTTGAAACTGTATAAATATTTTTTTAATACATTTAAACCGTATAAATATGTTTTTTTTTTTTCATTTAAAAACCATAATTTTGTATAAATACATTTTTTTTACACTCAAACCATATTTTTATGTATAAATATGTATTAGTTATATAAAAATTGTATTTTATACTAAATATGCAACTTTAAAATGTGTTTGGAGGTTTGGAGGCGTGCAGTCGATCAAAACTCGGATATCAAGTTTGCAACCCATCAAATTTTTACATCTTTTTAGAAGCTTATGGTTAGTTTGATTCTCATGATATAACTAATGCTTTGAATGTAAGGAAAAAAAACACCTTGTATTGAAATAAAAATGTGGTTTTTAAACGAAAAAAATATATTTATACGGTTTAAAATGAAATAAAAAAAATATATTTATACAGTTTCAAATGGAAAATAGACAAAATCAAACAAAATTTGATAAATGATGTTCGATTGGAACAAAAAAAAAACATAGTGTCAAAATTGAAATAAAAAATTAAACTTAGTGTCAAAATCGAAAAAAAGTGAAAACTTAGTGTTTTTTGTGGAAAAAGTCAAGTTTGACACGTCAACATATCATGTCAGCATGCCACATCATCAAAACTGATACGTCATCATGTCACGTCAACATGTAACATGGTTAACCGGTTAAGTGATCAGAATTGTAACAAATTGGAAAACACAGTGTCAAAATTGATACAAAAAAACAAGGTGTCAAAATCGAATTTCTGTATAAAAAGAGTGTTTTTTATGTCATTTACTCAAAATTAAAAGAAGTTGGTATATACCATTACCAATTTGTACCAACCAAATTTCTTGGTAACAAGTATACTTAATACAATACTAATAGCAAAATTTTAATATCAACTTTAGTTAGTACGATACACGATTTAGGAAAAAAAAATCGGTACTATACCAATTCCATCTATAATTTCTTTTGTAGGTGATGGCCAACGAAAATTATAGCTGTTAGGACAAAAAAAAATTTGTTTTATTTGTTATTTGATAAAAAAAAACTTTGAAAGAAGTATCTATTATAATCATTTTCTCATATATCATCTGCGTAGAAAACAAATCTCACTTGTATAATTATTTTAAAAGTATAATGTCATACTTAAAAACATTTATAATTTATAATATAATGATATAATTGAACAGATTTAATATATATATATATATATATATATATATATATATATATATATATATATATATATAATAAACAAAACCATCTATACACGTGTCCTTTTAAAAATTCAGAATTCAACCAATGTTAAATTCCAGTTTTACCCTTTCTTGATTTAACATAGCATTAGATATGGAAATTATAGAAATTGGATAAGGAAATATGGAAATTTTGAATCTACCCGTTTTTGTATGATACGTGACGTTTTTAAAAGCCTATAACACGTGTCGTTCCGTTTTTGTATGATACGTGACTTTTTTAAAAGCCTATAACACGTGTCGTTTTCTGGAGCTTCTTTCTCTTTCTTTCCCACTCATTCTATGTGCTTGCATTGATAATTGATAAAATTGAAACCGAAGTAATTATCATAAATTGATTGATTTCCTTAAACGGTTTCCCTAAATATCTCTTAAATTTATGTCTAATTGACCAATTTTAAATTTCACTGAAGGAAAATGGCAACACATCTATGTTCAATTTGAGGAGAATGACGAAGCTTATTTTCTTTCTCCGTTTTCTCCACCAGCTTTGTCCCCGTCGTTTGCTATTGACAACTCCATCACCACTTGCTTGTAAGTCTAATTTCGAGTTTTATTTATGGGTTTTCTTCTCCAGATCCTGTTTTCACATATATGTATGTGTATTAATTCTTTTTTTTTTATCGTATTTCATCATAAATCCAAAGAGGTTTGGTTTTTGGTGTTCTCCACTTTTCTTGCATTTATTATCCACTCCTCACCACCACCACTATTTGTACCAGCCACCGCCACAAAAAAAAACTAGCTTTTGACATTCAATTTGGGATTTGGACTTTAATTTTTACCCCTAATAAATCAGGATTCGATCAACAGCCAACATACGTGTTTTTTTTTCGAATCTGCAACCAGCAATATTAGCATTCATCAAAGTTTGAATACGTTTTCAGTATGATTATACAGAGGAAAGATGGATGTACAAATTTTCAAAAAGATTTTTACAATTTATAGAACTTGATCTAAATTACTTCAAACAGATACACATGAATGCTGATGTGTTGAGTGATAATATTGCAGGTACAGACATTACCTTTTGATGTTCTCCTTACAACATATGATATAACATTAATAGATGAGGACTTTCTTTTCCAGATTCAGTGGAGTTATGTTGTTAGTGGAGTTATGTTATTATTGATGAGGCACAAAAACATAGGTATATTGTATTTTTTTTTTTTGTTTTTTTTCTTATATTTTAAAGTCATATTGACATATTTTTATGGCTTTTCTTGGTTTATGATTTTTTTGGGATCCTTTATCAGGCCGCTAACTATTGGAAAATGAATAACTGTTGTAAAATGAAGAACTTGATATGAACTTCTGGCCAAGATAAAAACATGTAATGATCTTTCCAATGATCTTTCCAGAGTGTTTCAGTTTTACCTTTATTGTTATGAACTTGGGGACAAAACTGTCATCAAGGTCTTCTATCAGTGAGTATGCAACCTTCTATTTTATTTTGATTTTTCAAACATTAGGATGACCCAATACACATTCTGTGTTTCTAAACCTTTGCTTTCAAGTTCATATGAGTTATCTTATGAAATTAATCACTAATGTAATGTGTTTTTAAGGTTTAACTGGTTGGGTTCATTTATTGCAGATAATTAGTTGGACATTTTTAGCAAACAATCAATGATTCAGCAGTGATATGTTGTTCATTTGGATGATTTTTTCATTATCATGTGCTTTTTACATGTTTTTTTTTTTTGTTATTAGGTAGTTTTTTCAAGATTTTTGGTCACCAGGTTGTTATTTTTACAGCACCTTACTTTGATGTTTATTTTATTCCTACAATTTCTTATATCATGATTTTAGTTCGGGCTAATTTCACGTGGATTTTGGTGATCACATTGGTTTACGTCATTTTTTTGGTCGTAAAGTGGTTACTATTATAGCATTTTACTTTGATGTTTTTATAGCATCCTACGACTTTCCATTGATCTTGGCTTCCGATTCAATGAAAGTTGCCAAGCGAGAACTCCATTATCATAGTTTGATGTTGACCGTTGTACCCTTTTTAAAAATTTTGTATAGAGACTTATAGAAGAAGTTAGCAATCTCATATCTATGTGTTGGTGTTATGCTCAATGTTTATGTGGCAAGAAACAAATGCAGTTCTTGAGTCTTATCTTTAACGAAGGGGAGTCACTTTGACATATGTTATTGTCATTACTTGTAGATAAAAATATTATTATTATTACTAGATTTGAATTCAGATTCATTCTTCAATAAGTTATTGTCATTACTTGTAGATAAAAATATTATTATTATTATTAGTTTTGCATTAATTTGTGATAAATTATGGACAAGAAATGAAAATGAAAGTTGCAATTTTAGGGATGTATTCTTGTTGATATTAATTAAAACCAGGGAGGTGGTTGTAGTTAATTAATAGGTACTTGTCTGTTTGATTTCATGCTTACATGCTTCATGCATTATGATTTAGTTTTTTTATGCTTTTGTTAATTGTTTCGATGCTTAAAGCTACCATAGTATTTTTTTAATACTTGATTGTTTCTTTGTTTAATAATGTACTAATCCCCATAATAAATTTCTTGCATTTTAACATTTTCGATGATTGAAGTATAAAAGAAAAGTACATTGGTATTTTGTGTGTTTGACCTTTTTAATAACAAAACATAATGTTATCACTCACATAATGTTTTAAAATGCTCTTAAAATGTAACATTGATCTGACAAATTACTTATGTAATGGAAGTAGACTACCAATGTTATTTTTGGGTAAATGTGTTATTAAGACACTTATCAAATCTGAAAGTATAATTTTATAGACAAAATTTCTATCTTTATAAATTAATATATTTTTTTATTACAAATCCTTGATTAGTCATTACGATTTGAAATATCCAATAATGTTTTTCTTTTTCACCCGTGGTTCCCACGGGTTATAACATAGTAAATATATATATATATATATATATATATATATATATATATATATAATAAAATAGAAAGGTATGATAATATAATAAAAAAAAACAAATAAAAATGTGTTCTTATGTCTTTTATTTAGTAATATAAAGACTATCAACTTAAAAAAGGTACGAATTTCTTTTATTTATTTATTTTACCAAGTTGTTGATAGTTTTTAACAATTTTCTTATAAATGCTACTATTCCTACAAATTTTATCTTTTCTTGGTAAGAATCATCGACAAGAGAAGTTTTTATATTTAAATGAAAATACATCAAGTTATATTCACTTTATTGGAGATCATTAGATACTTTTTATCCATAACACCCTTTTCCTATTATTTTTGTTGTTTAGACACTAAAGTTTCCAATATGGTATCTTGTTGGATGAGTCAAACTAAGGGTACATACACATTATTACTATATTAAAAGAAGAACCCCCCATCCTTGACATTTTGACTATGCTAGAAATACAAGGTCCTCATAGTATGGCCTATATTAATCTGATGCCCCTCATTTTAGAAAATTATCACATATGGCCCTGTTAATTACTTTTTATTATATAACATGGTACTCCAACGAAATTTTGTGAAGAATCTATTTAACTCATAAGTCGAAAATAATCGCCTTCATCAATTTGACTGTTGTTTGAGAAGTGTAGAAGTATTTGCTAAAAAATATAAACTGTGCATACATACCCGAAGACACACCCTTAAGTAATTTAAAATTACAAGATTTAAAAATTAATATATAGAAATTATTCCAAACTATACTAGCTAGCAAACCCAATTAGGCCTAATTAAGTATCTACTTTGTCCATATTATGTTTGTTTGTTGTTACTACTACATCCCATCTCAATAAATTTAGAAAAATAATATTTATAACCATGTATCTTTTTATTTCATATCGGTTAAATATGAACTTATTCAAAATTAGAATAACACGATGAAAGAAGATCTTTCAATTTGTATTTTTTTTGAACAAAAATAAATGACTAGAAGACTACACATGATTTATGATCAATGAGGAGTGCTACTAATGCGATGTTATTTACAAATGATGATAATGCAAGTTGATTATTACATGTGCAATTATATGTTAATAAAGTTTCACACCCATCTAAAATTTGACTTCTTAATACAATTTCTCTTGAAAAACTTCCCTCCAAGAAACAAGCCCCATTTATGACAGGGACTAAACTAATATTAATCCATAGTCAAGGGTTGTAAGTGTAACATTTATATAAAATTAGACATATGGATTTGTTAATGTTCTAAACTTCTCAAAGAGTGTGAGCCCAAATCGCAGAAAATGTTAAAATTTCCCCCCTTTAAAACCATCGATAATTCACTCCCTTTGCATTGGTCTTCCTCCTTTCAATTCGCTTCAAAATCTCTTCCATTAACTGCTCAAATCTCCACCTTCGTCAGTCTTACTCTCCGCCGGCGTTCTTTCACCACCATAACCGCCGCCATGGGTGACGATTCCGGCATGGACGCTGTCCAGAGACGTCTAATGTTTGATGATGAGTAAGTTTTACCTAGTTTCGTATTAACGATTAGATATTATTTCAACCGTTTTGATTTAGTGATTCATTTCTGGTCTTCTGCTACGACTAATCATGAGTCTATACAGCTCTTTTGTTTCACCAACTATCTAATGAAGATTAATACCTAATAACTCGATTTAAGTTGTAACCTAATATCTTAAATCACGAGGAAAACTGAATCGTGGAAAATTAATTGTTTTGATCTTTTTTCAACTATTTTCAGATGTAGATGTGTTTAGAAATTAGAAGAGCCTTACTGGATGCATCTTTCTATTTATACAAAGCTTCAACTTATAAACTATCTTTGTGGATTTCGATATTTCGAAACCTAAATTAGCATCCTTTCTTCCATTTCTGATACATTAAAACGAACCTTTAGGGCTTAGGTTTTGGGGTTTTGTCTCCATTCTCCAAAAGTGGTAACATTTTTATCCTATTTTGTAGTTTTTCATTCACTGTCTATTTAGTCGAACCCAACAACAGTATTGAACTCTTTTTAATTATGTGTAATTATCAAACTTTTTTTATTCAAACGCTTGTTTTTGGAAAGGTGTTGTTAAATTCATCATCACCCATAAATTTTATTATTTTATACACATACGTCCAATATATTTTGAAACTGTGTTGCTATTCTGATGATAAAATAGCATCTCAATCTTTTAAACAACCTATTAATATGATTATTTACTTAATGGTTATTAGAATTAATAAATTTCATTTTTTTCACATATGGACTTCATTGAGTAAGAGTAAGACAGATAATGACAGTTTTTGACATCTTAAATTTCTGCAGATGCATTTTGGTTGATGAAAATGACAATGTTCTTGGGCATGATACCAAATACAATTGTAAGCAGAATATTTTAAATTTGTTTCATTATTATTATATATATATATATATATATATATATATATATATATATATATATATATATATATACTTTCAAGAAATTAATATACTTTATATCATGTATTCTGATGACATGACATGAACATTATCATAATTCATAATATCTTGAACTTTTAGGTCACTTAATGGAGAAGATTGAGAATGATAATTTGCTTCACAGAGCATTCAGTGTATTTTTATTCAATTCAAAATACGAATTACTTCTTCAGGTAGATTAATTTTCAAACAATTTAAAAAATTAATTTTAGTTTCTGTTTTTTTTTTTTTTTTTTTTTTTTTTAAATATGTGATGTAAATAATTGCAGCAAAGGTCAGAAACCAAGGTGACATTTCCTTTGGTATGGACAAACACGTGTTGCAGCCATCCACTATACAGAGAATCGGAGTTAATTCCTGAAAATGCCCTTGGGGTTAGAAATGCTGCACAGAGGAAGCTTCTAGATGAACTCGGTATCCCTGCTGAAGATGTTCCAGTTGATGAGTTCACAACTTTAGGTCGGATGTTGTACAAGGCTCCATCTGATGGAAAATGGGGTGAACATGAAGGTAACCTTTTAAAAAAAATTTTCCTTTTTTTTATTAAAAAAATTATCGAGTCAAAACTTTACTCTAAAAGAAAAAAAAGTGTGAAACAAGTTATTCCTTTTTCAAAGAGAAATTAAATATCCTTCTACATTTTGTTCGTACTCATCACGGAACCCATGCTAAATATTGATATGTGTCACATTTAATGAAGTTAATAATTTTTTTAATATACGTGTCATTTAAAAAGGGTAGGAGGGAAAGTAAGAACAAATGTAGGAGGATATTTAATTTCTCTTTTACAAAACACCAAAAAAGAGCTTATATGTCTTTTGCGTAGAGAGATCACTAGGGATCCTCAACCTGTTTTTTTTTTTAGAAAAACAAAAATTGCAATTTTTGTCCCGTTCACATTGGTATAATGGTACCAATACAAATGCATACCAAACATAATATAAATCTGTAATTGTCATTTTCGGTTATGTCTTGTCTTGTTGTCAATGAAAGCCTAACTTGTTTTGTCCTATCAACGATCGTCTGAAATGATAGTCTGTCTTGTCTTGTCTTGTCTTGTTTTGTCCTATCAACAATCGTCTATCTTGTCTTGTCCTATCAACGACCGTCTGTCTTTTCTTGTCCTATTAATGATCGTTTGAAATGACAGTCTGTCTTTTCTTGTCCTATCAACGACAGTCTGTCTTGTCTTGTCCTATTAACGGCCGTCTAAAATGACAGTCTGACTTGTCTTGTCCTATCAACAACCGTCTGAAATGACAGTCTTATCTTGTCTTGTCCTATCAACGACTGTCTGTCTTGTCTTGTCCTATCAACGACCGTCTGAAATAACAGTCTGACTTGTTTTGTCCTATCAACAACCGTCTGAAATGACAGTCTTATCTTGTCTTGTCCTATCAACGACAGTCTGTCTTATCTTGTCCTATCAACGGCCGTTTGAAATGACAGTCTGACTTGTCTTGTCCTATCTACGACCGTCTGAAATGACAGTCTTATCTTGTCTTGTCCTATCAACGACCGTCTGAAATGACAGTCTGTCTTGTCTTGTCGGGACTGTCTTGTCCTGTCCGGTCTGTCTTGTCTTGTCACTTTAAGGACAATCTGAAAATGACCGTCTGTCTTGTCTTGTCTTGTCACGTTAATGACCGTTGGACAGTCTGTCTTGTCTTGTCCCGTCAATGACCGTCTGGACAGTCTGTTTTGCCTTGTCCCGTCAATGACCGTCTGGAAAGTCTGTTTTGTCTTGTCCCGTCAATGTTCGTCTGGATAGTCTGTCTTGTCTTATCCCGCCAATGACCGTCTGAAATGACAGTTATCAACGACTGTCTGAAATGACAGTTTGTCTTGTCCTGTCCGGTCTGTCTTGTCTTGTCACGTTAAGGACCATCTGAAAATGACCGTCTGTCTTGTCTTGTCACGTCAATGACTGTTGGACAGTCTGTCTTGTTCCGTCAATGACCGTCTGGAAAGTCTGTTTTGCCTTGTCCCGTCAATGACCGTCTGGAAAGTCTGTTTTGTCTTGTCCCGTCAATATCCGTCTGGATAGTTTGTCTTGTCTTATCCCGCCAATGACCGTCTGAAATGACAGTTTGTCATTGATTGTTATGTCTTGTCCTGTCAATGACAGTCTGCCGTACTTTTGGCAGTTGATTACCTACTCTTCCTCGTGCGCGACGTTGCCGTGAACCCAAACCCTGATGAGGTGGCGGACATTAGATACGTGAACCAAGAAGAGTTAAAAGAGTTACTAAGGAAGGCGGATGCGGGCGAGGAGGGTTTGAAATTGTCCCCATGGTTTAGGCTAGTGGTGGACAACTTCTTGTTCAAATGGTGGGATCATGTCCAAAAGGGGACACTCAATGAAGCAATTGACATGAAAACCATTCATAAGTTGATATAAAAAAATATATTTAATCTCGGATGGTTGATATTTATGGTGGTTCGAGCTAATAATTTGTGTGTTCAAGTCTTGTTCCTTTTTTTTTTAACGTTTTTTTTTCCTTTATTGGGAGTGTTTATTGTGTACTTGTAACGTAGGCCCTTTGGTTGTCGCTTTAAGAGTTCAATAAAGAACCACCGTTAATTTAAAACTTTGGATTTACTGTTATTTGTTACCTTTGACTGGTATCATACTAGGATTGAATGCTTTTTTGATGTAATAGATCATACATGTCAATGTTTGACATGTATTTAATTAAGACTGATAAGGATGTAAATTGGATAGTAGCAAATTTTTGCACAACTTAAAAACTGAAAAGATGGGACTAGGAGTAATAACGAGTTTAATATTAAATCTATAAGTGCAAAATGATTATTTTAATTCATATTTGATATGGGACAAAGCTCATAACAGATCTAGAGTGTGTTTGGTAAGAGTAGCTGTTAGTTTAAAGCGGGTGGCGGTTAACTGGTAACGGATACCGTGTAGCTGTTAGCGGAAAGTTGTAGTTTTAATTTGTTATATGAATGTTTGGTAAAAGTAGCTGGAAGTTTTTGAAATATATAAAATTACATAAAAAGATAATTGATTAAAAATAAATAAATATATAAATATATTTTAAAGGGTAATTATGGAAATTGATTTCAAACATTTAGGAGCATTTTGTTAAACGTTATATGAAGTAACTTTTAGAATCAAAGCGTTTTGTTAAAACAAAAAGCTAAACGTTCATACTGTCAAACGAAATTTTTTATTTAAACTAGAGCGTTTTATCAAAAGTCAAAAGCTAAAAGCCCTCAAACACTTCCAAAAGCTCCGTGCCAAATACGCTCCTAAAATACAGGATCTTTCGAGCGAAAGAAAAAGATACAAATTAAACATGCATTTTATGAATTTACCCTAAACCAAATGGACTAATTTACTCTTCTGAATATTTATGATAAAATTTGAAAATTAAATTTAAATGATATTTAAAAGTTTTAATATGTGTTTAAGAAAAAGACAAAATTACAAAAATAGACTAATTTACTCTTTCTAAATATTTACGACTTTTTGACTTTTTGTGGTATGCAGCCAGGCTGTAGCATTATGCTGGACTGCCACCGAGCCTTCAACTACTAGCCGGATTGCTCCCAAACACTTTCAAAAACTCCGTGCCAAACACGCTCCTAAAATGCAGGATATTTCGAGCGAAAGAAAAAGATACGAATTAAACATGCAATTTATGAATTTACCCTAAACCAAATAGACTAATTTACTCTTTTAAATATTTATGATAAAATTTGAAAATTAAATTTAAATGATATTTAAAAGTTTTAATATCTGTTTAAGAAAAAAACAAAATTACAAAAATAGACTAATTTACTCTTTCTAAATATTTAAGACTTTTTGACTTTTTTGTGGTATGCAGCCAGGCTGTAGCATTAGGCTGGACTGCCACTGAGCCTTCAACTACTAGCTGGATTGCTCCCAAGCCTATATCATAAGCTAACCACTCCCTTACGCCTATAGTATCAACTGGACCACCCATGTATCTTGGCTTTCAGCACAAAACATGACTGCCTTAACCCCCACAACACAATAACATGTCGACATATACAACTATAAACAATCGCTAGCAAGTACAGGTAATCATATAGATCTACCAGTCTAACATACCACCAATGCATACATGTAATCATACATATCTACCAGTCTAATATATAACCAGCATAACACTATCCTATATACCAGGATATATAACCTAGTGGGTCGACATTGGTGCCTTCGACCCACGAGAACAGTGAAGAAAACTCACCTTAGAATCTGAGCGTTAGGGTGAACTGATCACTGCTCCAAACACTAGCTCTACGAGTCACCTGTACAACACACAAGGACCAAACCTCAACCTGCTACTCAAAAATACCCAAATAACCTAAAATTAAACTTGGTCAAAGTCAACGGTCAACAGTCAAAAGTCAAAGATCAACCTCCAGTTGGTCGCCACGCCGTGGCCATCCTTGGTCACACCTTGGCCGCGAAACGATAAAGAAGACATGATCCTACCCAGTCACCACATCGTGGTAGCCTAAGGCCACATCATGGGGACTGGTCTGGACAACTTAATCTATTAAGCAATTTACCTGCAACTCCAAGAGCTCCAAAGCTCAAATATGGTCCTTCCCATAGTCTTGATGGATAAAGTTTCCAACTTTAACTATTAAGACACCTCAATAAGTCAAGATCCCAAACCATAACTCCTTAAAGGTGACTAAATGCATAAAAACACTCATTAAGCACCCAATCTCTAGAGTTGCTCACCCAGAGTTTCCGGAATGGTTTCCTACACCTAATAAACCATAAAAATCGCAGCTTTATAGACATACATGTCCAATGCATGTCTCTTCCATTTTAGGTAAAAAAGAACATGGCCATTAGGAACTCAAGCTTGAGTATGGGACCAAAAACTCAATAGATCCTCAGATCTGGAACATATGACACTAAAATGACCATATGGTCCATAAAGTTGCCAAGTTTATGAGATCAAACCTTCCAATTTCTCACACCATGAAGATTAAGGGACAAAAATGGCTAGATCTAGAGACAAATAACATAAAGATTAGATCTTGAGGACTTACAAGAGTCTATAAACGTGCACAAGAGGGATAGGGAGAGTTGCTTGCTGAAACAAAACCCAAGGGGTGCCTTCTTCTTCATCTTCAAAACCCCACCAAACATACAAAAACTCAAAGGTTAGCAATGGAGCCTAGGGTTTTGTTTTGGAGGACGAGAGAGAGTGTGTAGCACCTGGTTCCCGGTACGTATTTCTTGTAATTAATAATTCTAAATTCATGCATTTTGCCTTGGACTCAGCAAGTTGAAGGACCGACTCGCCGAGTAGGAGCGGGATGAGACACGCAGTCTGAGCCTTGGACTCGGCGAGTCGGTTCCCTGACTCGGCAAGTAGGCCCTGTTGGGAAAAAAACCCTAACCCGAGTGTTGGCACCCTATTTAAGCACACTAACTCGGCCTCCCTTGTCCCTAACACTTCCAGAGAGTTGTAGTGAGAGACCCTAGCCCCCATATTGTTCTTATGAGTGATTTTTACTTGGTGAAGGAAGTTTGGAGCTTAGAAGAAGAAGGAGGAGGTTGAAGAGTGCAAGGAAGGGAGTAGATTCGAAATCTACACTGTGAGAAGCTTCTATTCAGGTAAAAAAGTTCATACCTTGATCGCTAGTTCATTAGATACCATTTTTGTCCCAAATTGGTGGTTTTCAAGCCTTAAAACACCAAACTCCATGTGTTTGTGCTTAATGATCCCAAAGGACTTTAGATCTAGACCTTGTGGACGTATTAGAAGCATAAAGTTCCTATGGATGAAGTGATTGAGGTCCCCATTGCGTGTATGACCTCATAAAGAGCTTGGATTTGCCTTTTGAAGCTTGTAGGGCCATGCATGCACGTAAAGTTTGCAACTTTACGTGATAAGCATGCCCTAGGAACATAGATCTATGGTTGTGAAGCATTGCATGTCTCAGATTTGGTCTATATGGGAAATGGGTCAAGGGACTCGACGAGTCCCAAAGTGGAACTCGGCGAGTTCTTTGAAGACAGCCTTAGACTCGGCGAGTTGGATGAACAACTCGGCGAGTTATATGAAGATTGCCTGGTACTCGACGAGTTGTTCTTCAAACTCAGCGAGTCAGATGAACAGTTACTGAGTAAGAGGGGTTTAGATGTTGAAGGTCCAACCCTTCGTATTTACACGCGGAATTAGCAATCAAACGTGTTGCAATAGTCCCAGAAACCCAAATCCTCATAAGGGATGCTCTGGTGAGGATTTGGAAGCGAGTGGGAGGCCTGCTCGTATGGACTCAGCGAGTCGGATCGTGAGTCGGTTCTATCGTCCCAAGTAGTGAGTTAAGGGTGACTCCGTGAGTGGGAAGAGGGGCTTGTAGAGTAGGACCGGGTTAGTGGGAGAAGGACTCGGCGAGTCGGTGCCATGAATCAGCGAGTCCAGTCAACTGGAAGTTGAGTTTGACCAAGGAGTTGACCTTGGACCAAGGGTGGGTCAGTCATCTGACCTAAGGGTGGGAATGAGTGGCTAATCTATGTTTATGATTTATAACCAGAGGATTACCGATTCAACAGTCAGGAGCTTAGCAAGCAGGCTTTCAGCAACTACTTTTCGAGGTGAGTTACCTTCCAGTAGCGGTGGGTCTAAGGCCACAATGACGGCCTACCAGTAGGAGACGTATGATAAATGATTGTCTTTGTGATATCATCTAGGTTTGTTACTACCTGATATGTTATATGCTAGCATGATATGTTGTATGTGATAGTGGTAGAGTTCGATTGTTAGGACCGAAGGGTAGTCAGACACCCCAGGTACGTCTGCATGCTGGATCATTATGTTATATGCAATAGAGGTAGTAACAGGGGACTAGTCCCCAAGTTTGGTTGTTAGGACCGAAGGGTAGTTCAGGCACCCCAGATATGTTTGATAATATGCTTATGTTATGTTATATGTGATAGTAGTAGTAGGGGGTGAAATAGTCCCCGAGGTTCAGTTGTTAGGACCGAAGGGTAGTCAGTACCCCAAAATGGCTTGACATGGATAGCTAGACACCCCAGAATGGCCGTATGGGTAGGTCGGCACCCCAAAAATGCCTGACTGTATGTATGTGATATGATTGTATGGTATGTGGTACGATGGGGGGACTCACCAAGCTTCGTCCTTGCAGTTTTCAGTTTTAGTTTCAAGTATCTCTTCAGCGAAGGGGAAGGAGCTGGTGCGGTAGCAACACATCATACACACACACATTGGATTTCCGCATTATGAGATGTTCTGGGATCGTACTCTGACATTATTATTATTTTCATGTTTTGGGTTTTCAGACACAAAATATGTTTTATGAAATGATATGATCAGATGATGTTTTACTATAAATATTTTACAAACCACTTATTATAAATGAAAGTTTTGGGTGTGAAAATTTGGTCGTTACAAGTTGGTATCAGAGCCCTGGTTTGAGGGATTCAGACACACCTTCAGGAGTGTCTGAACTCAAATCAAGGGATTAAAGGATTTCGAAAAAAAAAAGTTTTCTAAAAAATTAAGTAAAGAGTTTTAAGAAAGAACGAAGTGTGTGATGTGCGTGACCGACTGAGCTCAAGTAAGTATTCCCCAAAGTACCCATACAATGTTATACTATGTTTATCAGTTTTAGTAAAACAACATGCTAGAATAAGACTAAGGATCTAGGAGGATGCCTTATGTGTATGCTTTATGTGTTCCAGCCTTATGTGAATTGCATGCTAGAAATTGAGTAGACAGCAATAGAATAGTCTATTTAGGTTAT